ATTTTAACGTAAAAATAAAAAATTCATGAATACACTAAATACACAAGTAACTATTATTGTGATACTTAAAAAATGATAAAACTTATTGACGTTGTTGCTTTGCCTGTAAAAAATAAAAGTAATAATAAATATGTTGTTATATCGAAAACTAAAATATACAAGTAAAACGTAAAACATACTAGTTCTCTGTCGTAGCGCGTTTTTGAGTGCCTTAACCAAGCTGACACATAGTTCTGAAATTGTTTATCTGTCAAAAATGGAAAGTGTTTTCTAGTCGATCCTACAAATGTAACAAAAAAAAAGTTAATATAGTACCGGTACAATTATTATGCTATTAAAAGCATTAATTTTTTATAATTATATATTTTTACATTTCTATATACGTTTTAAAATGTCCATAATTATTAGTGTGTTCACTTCGAAGTTGCCTTTGCGACCCATCCAAGAACATTTTGTACCCAATTTATTAGTAAATATTTTTTCTAGTCCAGCTTTTATTTGATCGTGGGGAGAAGTGCCTCCTAATAAATAGACAAATGTTTCCTACGAAAAAAATGTAAATACATATATATATATATACAATTGTTCGAGCCTTTTCTGGTAAATATTGAGCATCCTTTTTGTCTATTTTAATTTCAATTAAAGTCAGTTAGTCAGAAGGAAAAAGGGTTAAATATATATTTTTTAAAAATAGATATCAGTAGTTTTGGCATATTCAACAATGGTACAATGAAATTATAATGAATGTTATAAAATAATCCTAGTTTAATCAAGCTTGAACAATCAAAATTGCTTTTGAAAGCAATTTCTTTCTAACCATTTACATTATTTTACCAGCTCGAACCTTGAATTTTGTCTCAAATATTCAAAAAACAAGAAATAAGAAATGTAGACTATTTTTACCATTTGTTTTTGTCCTTCCTCATTAGTTTTTAATGCGATGTCGAAATCAAGTAATTTTGTAAATTTCTTGAAAGGTTTGTTCGGAATAAGAGAAAAAGTACTACTACAGCTTGAACCAGATGCTGAGAGCAGTGGAAGCGAATTATTTGTACGCTCTAATTGCTTTAAAAATGCATTTTGTTGTTCCAATAATTTTTTAATCGCAATCGTGTTTTGCAGGATTGAAACAATATTCTGACTATCTGAAATATAAATTTACAAATTATATTACTATAAACAAAAGAACAATAAATATGAATGATTACCTGCTGGAAAATTTTCAAAAATGATATCGGTTGGTATCATATTATTTACTGGATTAACAGCATCTTTAGGATCTAAATAATGGAAATTTTTAGTATCATTATTGTATTTATTTAATATTAAATTAATAAATTAATAGACACTATATATATATTAAGCGGGATTACTTAAAATCGACTTGTATTGTTTAATACCTTATTGTACCAAAAATTATTTGTTTATACCTTCATCAGAAGTTACATGGTCTTCAGAGGCAATATTATTCTTTTTATTTTGACTCACGTTTATTGCTGTTTCATCCATATTTTCGATATCCTTGTCCAAGTTTTGGTTATCATCATTAATCAAATCTAAATGTATAAAAAATTACACTATTAAGCATTACTTTATTTGCAAGTTAAAAAAATAATGTTAAAGATTTATAAAAATAATATATATATTTATTTATTGTTATACCATTTGTCAACTGTTCATTTTCTAAATGCAAATCCATGACAGTCATTAACGGAGATGGTGTCATTCGCGGATTTGAATCGTCATCATTTAAGTTGTTTGCTGTAACTGGTTGGAATGTTTTCTTTTTTCTTTTCCCTCGGCCTAATTGCGAACATGATGTATCTGATGTATCGGTTCGAATTTTTTTATGTACAACATCTATAGCTTCCTTATATGAATCTGTAATTACAAATTATTTTATTAATTGTCTATATATATACATACATTTGTATTACATGATTTATATAAGTCTTTTCCATAACCGTATTCATAAATATTGGGAAGTTATGATTTGATATATTAAATACAAAAAAGTCATTTTTTTAATATAAAACATGTTTAATTAAGATATTATCTTATTATATACTATCAATATTTTTATGACAATACTTACTACTTTGAAATATTAGTTGCACTATGTATTTTTGCCAATTGTCTTTTGGGGGTTCTTTCCGTAATATATATTTCCTAACATTTTTTTCCGGCCATTTACACATTATTTGATCATTTGTAAATGTCATCCATGAGGTTGGTACAACTTCTACAGCGTTTGATTGGCCTTCTATATTGATAAATTCAATCACTGACCAAGTCTGCAAAGCATATAAACCATTTAATTTTCAATTAATAAACATTATTATAATGTTATAATATGATCCCACAAAAAAAGACATCACAGATGTAAAAAAAAAGCGCTAAGTTATATCTTTCGTCAGCAAAAATAGTTCTTTATAATAATAAAAAATATAATCTTCTCAAAAATTATGTTTATAGCCAAAATAATTCTTTGCAAAAATTAATCATTATCAAAAATATTTTCTCAAAAATTATATTTATAAATTATATTTTATTTTTGTTAATAATACTAGAAAAAAATTAAAATATTAGCATCAAAAAGTAGTGAAATCAAAAAATTGCGCTAAATAATTATATTGATAATACGAGAAAAAAGGTTAAAATATTAGCATCAAAAAGTAGTCAAATCAAAAAGTTGCACTAAGTAAGTGACAACATAATATATAATATTTAGATAAATTTCTTATAATGATACAAATGTATAATTATTGCTTTATTTTAAAACGTTTATAATATATACAATAACAAAATAAATTCAGTAAAATATATATATATATATATTTATTCATCTTTATATTTAAATAACATGAATAATTATGTAATTAATTTAAACTGGAATGTATATACATTGTAAAGTTATTATATATTTTTATAAAATATTTAGATAAATAGATATATATAAAAAATAAATTATTTATCTCTAAATAATTATTTAATTCAAATATATTTAAACGTATATTCAAAAAAGGTAATATAAGGAATTGCGGGAATTTTAGGAATAAAAAAAAAAAATAAAATTTTTTAAATTAAAAATGTTAAAAGTAATGAAAAAGTCTTTATGTAACGACCGAAAATACACGCTGGGCTGTAGGCCACGTTTAACACGATTCGGAAAAAATAAAATTAAATCAGTATAGGCTAAAAGGCGCTGAACAGCTTCACGAAACTCACTAATCGTGGCTATATACAATCAGTGGCGGAGTATCGATTTCTATGCGTTTTATCGCGCGCACCGTACTGCCTTAATCTACGAGGTATTTGACTGCTTTGACGACGAGCCCAGTGAAAAACGAAACAAGAATAGAGGCTCGTCCCGGGACGAGAGACCGAACCCCCGTACGCATTCTTAACTACCAATGGTCGATTGCCAGCACGATCAATCGACTTCGTTATTGGTTCAGTGGTAGGATCACGCGATCGCCATCCGGCGGCTCGGCGTCACGTACAGGAGCGTGATTATCAGGCGATCATTTATGTCGTTGAAATATAATCGCAACATACCGCCCGCCTCGGAGCTTTCCGAACGATGAAATCATAATCGCGCCGCCCGCCGTGACGATGTTGATTAGTACATGAGCGCGAATTCATTACATTTATTTTCATGTATACCACATCTTTGTATAGAGTTTACAATGGAATTTAATTTTAGACGTATCAGCAGAGATGGCTCGTGGAATGTCATCCGCAGCGTCATGGGTTAGATTCACGTCAATCGTAGAAAACATAATTTTGTGACGGCTCGCTTGTACTTGGAGCGGGCTGTCTTGACAGTAACGACCCGGACTAAGCCGTCGTCTCCCGGATGGCATTCCACGATCCTCCCAAGTTCCAAGCGCAGGGAGGCGCTAGCGGATTTCGCAATAGTACTAAGCGCCCTACCCGGGCTAAACTCTGCCTTTCACGCCACTTAGGCCGTTGTTGCAACGTGTGCAGATAGTCCTGTGACCATTGCTTCCATAAACTATCGCGCATTTGACGAATGAGCTGCCATCGGGTAAGACGCGTTTCCTTTTCGTCGAGTAGAGACGTTTCTGGCATCGTTAGCATCGAGGATCCAATGAGAAAGTGGCTCGGAGTAAGAGCGTGATAATCATCGTAATTATCCGACATCTGCCCGAGAGGCCGCGAATTTAGACACGCTTCGACTTTACATAATAAGGTGCTCATCTCTTCGATTGTGAGCGTGTGAGCACCGATGACGCGCTTTAGATGAAACTTAACGCTCCGAACGCAGGCCTCCCATAATCCACCGAAATGTGGAGAGGACGGAGGAATGAATCTCCAACTGATGCCTTTCTCCGCGAGGTTGTTTAAAATATTCGAATCGTGAGTAGCCGTATGCCAGGCAGTAGCTAGTTCGCGTTGAGCTCCCTGAAAATTAGTTGCGTTGTCCGAATACATCGCGGTTGGAACACCTCGACGAGCACAGAACCGATCGAAAGCAGCCAAGAAAGACTGCGTTGACAAATCACCTACTAGTTCCAGATGAGTCGCTTTAACAGTCATGCAGATAAATATGGCGATATATGCCTTTTGCGACTTGTGTCCCCGTCCCGGTGTCGTTCGCACTTTAATTGGTCCGGCATAATCGATTCCGCAGTGAGAAAACCCGCGAGCAACAGGGCGAACTCGATAATCCGGAAGATCGCCCATCAACTCGGGAATGATTTTTGCGTTTTCACGAGTGCAGGCGATGCAATGGTAAAGAACTGACCGTATGGTTTGCCGAGCGCGGATTAACCAGAAGTCTTCGCGAAGAATTGACAACGTCAAGCGCGATCCGGCGTGCAGAGCTTGTAGATGAATGTGACGTATAAGAGACGAGACTAATGAATGCGATGCGAGTACAATTGGGTGTTTCGTTTTTTCGGCGAGTTCGGAATGACGGAGTCGGCCTCCGACTCGAATTAAATCGTCGTTGTCGAGGAACGGATTTAAGGAGGCTAGTTTGCTGCCCTTTTGCACGGACTTACGTCCTTTAAACGTAACAGCTCTGTCGAGAACAGTTGTTGTTGAATGGACTTCAACCAAAATTTTCGCGCGGAATCAATCTCATCCGGTGCTAGCGACAGCGATAGTTTGGTGATGTTCACCGGAGCGTTAGGGCTCGCCAATGGCTGTGACCGGCGATATCGAAGACGTTGCGTGAATCGCCGTATATATGCGGTCACTCGCAATAATTTTGTCCATGACGAAAAACGCGTCATTAATTCCCATTCGTTGGGGGTTTGAGCGATATGTACATGAGCGCGAGCCTCCGTAAGCGACTCTGTTGTGACAGATTCACTTCCCTCCGGCCATTGAGTCGAGGGTAACTGAAGCCACGCGGGGCCTTGCCACCATAATAAATGCTCCTTTAGGTCGGCCGGCTGGACGCCTCGTGAAGCGAGATCGGCAGGGTTTTGCGGTGATGGAACGTGGTGCCATATCGCGTCTGGAACTTGACTTTGAACCTCGTGGACCCTATTGGCCACGAAAATTTTCCATCGAGCGGGAGATTGCTTGAGCCATGCTAGTACGACCGTGGAATCTGTCCAACAGTGACAAATCATTGAAGGGATAGGGATCAGAGTTCGCACGAATGCAATGAGGCGAGCTAATAACACCGTCGCGGATAATTCCAACCGCGGAACCGTGAGGGGTTTAAGCGGGGCGACTTTAGATTTCGCGCTCATCAACGTGATTTTGACTGATCCGTTACGTTTGGTCAGTTTTAAATAAACGACGGCTCCATACGCGGCAGTAGACGCGTCTGCGAATCCATGAATTTCCGCTGAAACCGTGTCGGACCCATACCCGTTCCATCGCGGAATTAAAATCTCGCGCAGAGTCGATAGGTGCGCGTAGTAGCTACGCCAAGCAGCGAACAATTCATGGGGAAGCACGGCGTCCCACTCACATCGCGCCGTCCACAGTTTTTGCATAAAGATCTTCGCTGTTATTACGACGGGTGTTAACCACCCAAGTGGATCAAATATGGTAGCGATGGTCGCTAAAACGGCGCGTTTTGTTGCAGGAACCTCGGTCGACAGCGATATTTCAAACTGAAACGCGTCAACGTATGGGTTCCATTTGAGACCCAAGACCTTTAGAGAATCGTCCGTTTGCAGGGTCTTGGCTTGCGCCAGACCATGATCATGAGGATCGATATCAGCAAGCAACGACTGATTGTTGCTTGCCCACTTGCGAAGTTGAAAGCCTGCTCTATTGAGTAAGGATACAAGCTGATCCTTTGTCTTACGAGCGAGCGGGATATCGTCTGCGCCGAAAACACAATCATCAACATAAGTATGCTGTTGAAGGACTGGTACTGCGGCGGGAAAGTCATGGCCGTCATCGAGAGCGAGTTGGTTTAAAACTCGGATGGCCAAGTAAGGTGCGCTTGCTGTACCGTAAGTCACGGTTTGCAATTGATAGTCTTCTATCGGAGCGTCGACATCGGATCGCCAAAGAATCCGTTGATAGTCGGTGTCGCGTTGATCAACTAAATTTGCCTATACATTTTTGCAATATCTGCAGTATAGACATAGCGAAACTGTCGCCAGCGCGTGAGGATCGATGGCAAATCGGTTTGTAACTTCGGACCGATCATGAGATGATCGTTAAGCGACAAACCATTTGACGTAGGCGAGGAGGCATTGAACACGACACGCAGATGGGTCGTGGCACTGTGTTCACGTATGACTGCATGATGAGGAATGTAAATTATTTGATTAGAATTGTGGCGCGGCGATGACACTTTCATCATGTGTCCTAATTGTTTATACTCTTGTAAAAACGCGTGGTATTCGGTTGCTTGTTCAGGCCGCGCTTTCAAACGAGCTTCGGCTCGAGTATACAAGGCTAGAGCCGCCGACCTTGAATCGCCGAGGCTCAATGGAGGAGGCGTTTTGAATGGGAGCCTGACTATGTATCTCCCGGTCGGAGAGCGAGAATGAGTCGACGCGAAATGTTCTTCGCACCGCTTTTCCTCCGGAGATATGTGACGCGAACGAGGGAGTTCTTCAATCTCCCAAAAGCGCTTCAACTGCATATCGAGGTCCGCATACACTGTGCAGTGATGCGTCGATAACTGATGGGAGGCGGACTCTAGTTCCGTGAACATAGGTCCGGAGAGAATCCACCCGAAAATGGAGTTTTGCGCTACGGGTTCTTGTGAAGATCGCGATCGAATGCCTGATCTCAGAACTGATCCGTAAAGGTCAGCTCCAATAATGATATCGATGGGCTCCGAGCTTGTTGGATCGCTGTCGGCTAGATTGAGAGAGCGCAGATATTCCAACTCGGCGAGAGATTCTACGCGCTGTGGAATGTAATTTGTTAATGTCTTTAATATCAACGCAGTCACGGACAACACAGGACCTGACATGTCGCGGGGGGAGATGTCAATCCGTGCTGCTTGTTTGGCAACGGACGCCGCGCATCCGATGCCTGTTATCGAGACTGAAACACGAGATCGCTTAAGTCGCAAGCGTTGAGCTAATCGTTCTGAAATGAGAGTTGTGACCGAGCCCTGATCCAATAATGCGCGTACGACGTCCCGGGTACCGGTAGCGCTATGAACCGCGACCCAAGCTGTCGCTAGTAGAATGCCAGTTTTTGAAAAGTTAACGCGTGAAACAACGTGCGTATTAATCGAGACGGGTTCATCCGCCGTCGAGGTGCTCGCAGTCGGAGAGCGTGCTTCATTAACTTTACTCGTGTCGACTTCGTGGAGAAGAGTATGATGCTTCTGTTGACACTGTTGACACGTATGTTTGCTTTGGCAATTTTTCCGATTATGCTTGGTACTCAGACAATTGTAACAGCACCGAACCCTTTGAGCTATTTCTCGACGTTCGCTTGCGGGTTTATTTCGAAATTCCGGACACGCAAATAATAGATGCGGTTTCTGACAAACGGGACATTTCATTGCACTTGTATTTGTTACATGGCTTTGCACCGACAGCTGATTCGAAGTCTTGCCCTTATTGAACGGCAGAATATTCTCAAAAGCGCGGATACGCGAGGTTAAAAATGTTCGAGACTATCAAACGTGGGATATTCGGTTGTATCTCCGAGCTGCAATTCCCACGCTTTTCGAGTGGCCTTATCGAATTTTTGCACGATCAAATATACAAGAATATCGTCCCATTGGTCCACCGCCCGCCCGAGATGTTTTAACGCTTTAATTGCCACGTTCGCTTTATCTCTTAACGCGGAAAGCGCGGACGCGGATTCGGAATTAATCGGCGTGAGTGATGTCAACTCGTGAATATGCTCGTGCACCAAGCGTCTTTTGTTATCGTAGCGTGCTATTAATAAGTCCCAGGCGACCTTGAAATTCGAATCGACTAACGCGAGATTTCGCACGATATCGAACGCGTCGCCCTTCACGCAGGAATGTAAATATTGCAGGCGATTTACATCTACGAGATCACTGTTCTCGATTATCAACGCTTTGAATTGATCGCGAAACGATTCCCAATCGCTAAATTCGCCGGAAAATCTCGGCAAGCTTATACGCGGAAGTTGAAACGCTGACCGGGATGTGAAGGCGTTTTGACGATGGCTTACGATGGATGACGGCTCGGGAGTGGATGTCGCTTGGGGTTCCAGCTGCGCTTCCCATTCGGCCATGTAATCAGAGGCGGTATAATATGCTGCTTCACAAGCGGAGAATCGGTCCTCGGTGAAATATTTGTGGGTGGCGACGAAGTCCTCGGTTGCGAGAGCGAGTACCTTGGCATGTGTATGCTCGTATCGAGCATAATCATCCTTCAATTTTTGCAGGCGGGATCGCACGATTCCGTACGTGAGATTGTCTTTTCCGATTTTTTTAAAATTCTCCAATGAGCGAGTGATTGATTTGAGCGTCACCTTTTGTTCGGCCAATAGCCCTTCCATCCTTACAGCACAAGGTTGACCTGACACTAATGATATGCAAGTACGATTGCTTGGACTTGCCCACAATGTTCCGCTCGTACGTGTTCCGCGGAATGATCACCTCGGTAGTAATGATCAACGATATAATTGACGCGGTCGTGTGCCGATGGATCCGCCAAATGATTGTCACTGTCGCGCGCCGATCCGGCTCGAAGGACCAAATTTTATGTGTGGAATTGCGGGAATTCTCTCCCGAATGGGAGACGGCGCGCTAGACCTTGGGTAAAATAAAATGTTACTGAGGTGATGAGACAGTCTTTATTCACGACCGAGGATACACTCTATGGGCTCACAGGCCACGTTCGGGCACGATTTCGGTGCGAAGGCTCTTAACAGTCAAGGCAATAAAGGCGCTGAACAGCGTACACGAAAACTCACTAATCGCGGCTATATACAATCAGTGGCGGAGTATCGCTTTTCTCCGCGTTTTATCGCGCGCACCGTACTGCCTTAATCTACGAGGTATTTGACTGCTTTGACGACGAGCCCAGTCCGAAAACGAAACAAGAATAGAGGCTCGTCCCGGGGACGAGAGACCGGAACCCCCGTACGCATTCTTAACTACCAATGGTCGATTGCCAGCACGATCAATCGACTTCGTTATTGGTTCAGTGGTAGGATCACGCGATCGCCATCCGGCGGCTCGGCGTCACGTACAAGGAGCGTGATTATCAGGCGATCATTTATGTCGTTGAAATATAATCGCAACAGGTAATATAAGGCACAAAGAATTAAATTTAGGAAATTAAAAAAATTTAAAGTTAAATAAAAATTTTAATTTAAATTAAAAATAAAAGTAAAATAAAAGTAAAAAAATGTAATGTACAAAAATACTTAGCGCTGTTTTTGTATTGTTATTTTAACACATTAGTAAATAAAATAAAATATAAATCAAAGTATAGACTAATTTTTTACTGCAATACGCTTCAATAGAAATCTATAAACATATTACGTGGCTCGATATTCGAATGACATGTGGCTAGCTGAACATATCGATATACATGTATAAAATATATGTATATAATGTAACATGCAATAATTGTCATATTAAACAGATTCAACGATTGGGCAATGTGAATGGGCTAAGTGAAAATTATAAAAATGAATTTACTATACATTAATATATGCTAAAGACGTATACATTGTGACGCGACAAATTGAAATTGTCCGTCACAAGGGCTGAATGGCCCGATCGGGGGAAGGCACGGGACCTCTGCTCTCCCGAGACAGCGAGAGAGAGAGAGAGAGAGAGCGTGCGTGCGAAAGCGCGGGACCGGACGCGATCCCGCTGCTACGCTTTTTGTGTATTTTTTTTTGTGTTAGGAGTTTGTTTGGAGAAGTTAGGACTATTTCGGCGGCAGACAGGATGTGCGACGAGTCTCAGCCGAGAGAGAAACTCAGAGAGGAAAGATAGGAGAGCATGGGAAGCAGGACGACGGGGACCCCCTTCGTCAGGGACACGCTCGGTAAGCCAAGATCAACAATTTCTCCACCGAATATCCGACAACGGAGTAGGTGCCACTGCCTCAAAAATTTGTACCTTCCAGGAGCGAGCAGGGGATGGCCACTCGGGTGCAACAAGCACCCGAGTCCCCGCATACGGAGCGCCGGCAGGAGAGCTGCCGCCCCGGGACTTCCGGAATCCCGAAGGAGAGCAAGGAGCGGCCCTGCCATGCGCTGCCGCGACGACCGCCTACGAGGGGCAACCCGCGGATCAGGACTCCGCGGGTAAGGATAATTACGCGCGCGGCCGCAAGGATCACCGAGGCCGCGCGCGCGGCCGACCTGATAGCGCCGCGAGTGGCCTATCTAAGTAATTGGGTCACCGACGTGTCTTCTGAGGGCCCCCGGTTCGGCACTGTCTAGCGAGCGCCCGAGGAGAGCAGAAGTCCCGAGCTGAAGCGCAACTCAGAGAGAACGAGAGAGGAGAGGAGGACGCCAAGGAGCGTCATAGGACTGGTGAGACGACGTGGTCATCTGCTGTCGCCGAATTAAGGTAGTAGGGTGGATGGGTTCCGAATCATTTATCGTTAATAGATTACGCTGGACTTAGTTGCGGCCGTTTTAAATTTTCGAGAGATTCGTTTATTGTCGAGTCGCGTAGTAACGTCGCGAGACCCTATTGGGAGAAATTAGACCCATCCACTCTCTCGCGTTTCCGCATATTCTCTCTCCCGCGTGGACAGTCCTCGCGCGTAACATTGTCGCGCGAAAATTACCGCGAACTACGCGTTGCCGATTATTGTTCGAAGCGAAAATCAAAGAGCTCATAAACGCTTTCAGGCTCATTAAAGTATTGATAATGTAAAGTATTAATGTTTTAAAGTATTGAGGTTGTAAAGGCTTAAACGAAAAGGCGTGATTACGTTTGATTTTGTGTTTGTGTGGAATTTATGTACGGCGCACGCGGTGCGCGCGCCCTTACGCCGGCCCCCTTTGTTGTCGCGCATACCGCGCGGATCACGCGCCCGCGGCGTGGAGCCATATACCCGGTGGCGAGTCGCCGATTTAATTAATCGTCTTTTCGTTATTGGGACCCTACTTTGTTGCCGCGAATTTGTTAAGATTATTCATAACTCGGCACGCGAACCACCGGGCGTAGTGCCCCACCGAACTCTCAATCGTGCGTCTGTGCACACGCCTACTTTTCTTTATATTATATACTCATGTGTCTTGTGAACCAAAGTTAAATATATGTTTTACAACTGTAATTCCTAGGGTGATTTTTGCCGCCACGCACCCGAACCCTTCCGCACAGAGGCTAGCGAGCGGGAAAGTTGCCGTCGCGATTCTCTCTCTCTCCCGCGATTGACGCCCGCGAAAGGGCTGGGACTAGGAAGTCCGAGTAAATTAAGACTTAGCGTCCCGCTAATTTTATTAATTGAGAGACGGTGCGGCTGCCGCACCTGGGCCCAATAAATTGAGATTTTAGTTTTTCTTTATTATTTTTCTTTTGTTGCAAAAATTTTTTTTCTTTTTTTTGGTGATCGAACGGAGAGATCGCGCCGAAGGTAACCGATATTCACAGGAGACTTTTTTCCTCCCGCGACGAATGGATATTCGCTGCGAATTCGCGCGATACGGTTACAAATTGGCGCCCAACGTCGAGGCTGAAGACCCGGTGCGTAGCGAAGAAACTGAAATTCACAAGAGGATTAAAGTTTCTTTTTTTTTTGTGTGTAATTAAGGGAGATAGGAAATTGGCTCGTCAAAAATTAATAAATGTTGGAAAAATTTTGTTGGGAGATTTTGGGAAGGTAAAGTTCTGTAAAATTTTATGAGTAAAATAAGTATCGAAAAATTAATTTTTTTTTTGCGTTGACGTTAACGACATCACGTAAGACTGAGAAAAAAATTTTTCTTTTTTTTTCTTTCGCGAAAAAATAACTTTCGTGGAAAATTGAAGATATCTGTTGCGACGAGCTAATTTGAGGAGAGAAGTTTTTTTTTCTCTCTCGCTTTCTCCTTTACTTATCGGGAACTATTAGGGGAAAACTAACATTACGAGAACAAACATTTTTTTTCTTCTTCGGCTGAACATGTACTTGACGGAATTATGTATCAATTGAAAATTTTTCTTGTATGTTTGAAATTGTAATCCGCGCGCACACTCTTTCAATGAAAATTTTATAACTTATTTACAAAATTATTAGCGTATGATGAAAAATTATTATTGATAACTTTAAAAGTATATATTTTTTTTCTTTCTCTCTCTCTTTTCTTGTATTCCAAGAGAGAGTTCAATCAGTTGTCGTCTCTTAGGGTTAAAATTTTTTTTCCCATCCTGTTGCTGCTCCCTTGTAACAGCAAAGAAGTTTCCATAATATAAACTTTGAGATCATAATAATCTTTTATCAAGTAATTAAGTACGGATCGAATAAATATCTACCATTTATATAAAATTAAATAGAAGCATATGAAATAAAGAGAGAGGTGTCTGCTGCCGAACATATATAAGATGTGCTCATTATTTTAAATGCTTATTAT